CACCTTCTGTCATTACAGCTACAGTGTTTGTTGCGATCATGCTGACCATGGGTGGTCTTGTGAATGGTGGGAGGCGGATAGGCATTAACTGACCACCAGTGAACACACCGGACTGGACACAGTACAATATCTGACAGCCATCACTAATGGCAGCAAGATGTTGGCTGAACTGAGGTGGACAGCGATTTTGACCATTTGCGAGAGGGTTGCCAGATTGGCAGCTGAAGAAACCAGCAAAAGGCACAGAGAATCTTGTTCCGGCCTCATAATCATTGCTCATACAAACCATCATGCCATTAGACAAAAAGTGTTGGGGAAAGTAGTTTGGAGGACAGTTATTAGATTTGGTCAGTGGGTTTTGCATGCCTGGTCTAAATAGACCTCCAAAAAGATATCCAGAGTACTCAGGGGTTTTCTGAGTTGAGGAACACCAGTAAGTTTCAACTTTTGCACGACGAACACGGTAAGCATCACCACATGTTTGGTCACAACAAGTAGACAACCATAAGAAACCACATTTGCGACAGTGTCTGTGGCATTCATAATGATTATAACCTCGTTCTACTGTCTCAGAGCGTAACAGGGTAGGGGTGTACTGCTGAGGGCAAGAATAATCACCAGTAGCTGGGTTTTTCTGTGCTGTTTCATCACAGATAGCATTTCCATCTGATGTCAGTGCAGTGCATTGTTGGTAAATGCCACCAAAGCTAAGATTGGTAACTGGACCCTCACAAGATGCATCATCTACATTTGCTTGAAAGTTGAAATTTTTGGAATCTGGATTTACACAACCTGGAATAGTATTTACTTTATAATATCGCTCTGCAGCCTGACGAACTGATGAAGCCATTTTATTTACTGTTGGTACTGGGAGGTCTGGGAATGTTGTTGGATTCAGAAAATAGTGAATCGGTAGCCCAGAGCGGTCAATAGCCACCAGATTATTGAGCGTACTCTCTTGCCACTTCTGCAGAGTGATGCCTGGGTAGAATAAAGCTCCTCCATGGCTCTGCATTAACGAATATGAGATATTACCCTGATAACCGCTGGTTTTAGAGGCTCCATTGGATGTATTGCCACCGATATCAAATTTAACCTTGTCAAAAAAGTTAAATCCTGCTGATGCAGTAATAGAAGACACGTCTGACTGACTGTTAGAGACATAAGACATTTTTAAATAGTCCTCTTGCACCAAAGTGGCACCAGCATCAACACTTGTGATGACATGGGTGCCATAATCAAGAATGAGTTTCTCTGACAGATATGTTGCTTGACGAGTTTGATTGTTTTCAATAGCATCTGCGATTTCCTCGGCCTGTCGAGCAAAACGGGAGTCCAGAGTGAAGTCAGGATACGCCTTTACTGTGTACAGATGGTTACGGACCTGGGAAACAATTTTTTGGTAATATGAGAAAATGAACCAAGCACTGACTAGCAGCATTGCAATTGAAAATATTCCATCTTTTGTTTTGAATGATAATTGTCATATAAGTTTTTCATTATTATTTTAGATGCTCATAAAATAAGGTTTTATTTATTTTGGTATAATAATTGGTATTTAGATTTTATGATGCCATAGTGTAGGTTATTCAAAATTACATTTTTACTAATTTAGAAATACTTTTCTGTATTCATCCCATTTGTCTATATAGTTAATGGAACTCTCAATATGACATTTTTTACTTTTGTACCTACTTGAACTCGTGCCGTTACAGAGCTGTCTTTCACTTGGTGGGTTTTCATACGCTGGTTTTCTGTAGAGAATTTTGCATTGAGCACTGAATAAAAAGAAACATCTGCATTGATGGAGCTTGAAGTTGAGCTTTTTTGTTCCCTTGACTAATATTTGATTTGTTTTTAGTAAAAGTACAAATATTCCATGTAAACTCATGTGCATGAAAATAGCATGTACAACAATCATGACTCTTTTTTTTCAATTCAGGTTAAGTAATTTTTAAAAAACACAGTTTTACAGATAGTTTTTCTGAAGATTGTCCTGGTCTTCTTGGCATAAGGTGCAATCATACTACACTTTTTAACTTAACGTATACACATACATGCATATAAATGTAAAAAAGCGGAAACACAAGCACGTGCAAGTAGAAATTTCATCTTCCCCTTCGTGCCAAAGTTAATGTTTGATGAGCTAGAAGTTTGTACAGCAAAAAGTTAACCAATAGAGGAACAAATATCACCGCTTGACTCAAAAAGAATTTAAACTCCAAGGCTGCAAGGTTTTTGCAATGTTGTGGGACTATGAAATATTATGTTTTTAATATTTTGAATGTGTTAATATAAAGTAGTATTTATAACAAACAGAATCCCTCGAACATGATAGCATATGTTTATGCTATTCACTGCAGAATCCAAAGTGCTTGAAGTCTATTGTGTACTTCCTCAATAGTTTGCACACCCTTGACCTCCTTTTATATGAATGCACAATACAAGCACACATGATGTTTTGTCTTTGGCTGCGTACCAAAGTTAAAGTCTGTTGGCAGCAAACTTTATTACGACGGTTATGAAATTGTTATGCTTTATTATACACTACCATAGTTTCTTTAATTCATTGGCCAAAATTTGATTGTATTATATAACAAGTTTAAAATATCCTTCCTATATTACAACAATGTGCTTTTAAGAGAAGTTTGTTTGGCTAGCTTGCATTTTAGCCATAGCTATTATTTAATTAATAGCTATTTTTACTCATAAAAAAACAAAAAAGAAACACATAAAAAAGGAAATTCCCAAGGGTCAAAAATAATAACTATGTTCCAGGTTGCACCACAGCAAGAATACATTTTGCAGATTAATGCTTAACTATTATTTTACAGTTGTATACTGCTTTTTGATATATTTATACTGTTATTATACTGTGTTCATTTTCAATTACAGTTAATGGTATTGTAGTCTATAGATAACCAGATGGAATATGTGATAATAAATGTATCTATTTGTGGTCAAAGAGAATAAAGTACTCAAAAGTATGACTTATGGTAAGTTATAATTTGGTTAGGAAAAAGTCTGCCAAATTGATTAATGTAAATACATTTACCCATTTGGCAGACATTTTATCCAATGTGCCTTGTTGTATTGCTCAAGTTATACATCTTTTCAATGCAGGCATTCCTTGGGAAATATTAAACAGAATGTTGTAGAATTTGTTTACAGACTTTAGTGATCATGTGTTTTCTGCAGCCAGACATACAATGATTTGCTTTCACTATAACTGTTCTCACAAGAATGTGCTTTAATTGAAAGAGTTTACGTGAATGAAAAATATTAATGTAACAATTTCATACTTGCAAGAATATTTATTTCTACTCAAATAAACAAATAAACATTTTTGTAACTATGTTAATTATTTAACCTTTAACCTGATCATTTTAACATTTTACATCTTTTTTTAGTTTACCCTGTTCCAAGTAAAACTGTCTAATATCGTTTATTCATTTCAGAATTTCTTTAACAGTTGCTTGAAGTTCAGACATATTGATGTATGAAATAATTGCGTTCTTGGATGAGCATTTCCTTTTAATGAATGTGTCTAATTATGCACAAGCTTTATACACGTTATTCCACTAAATAGTGATATATGAAAAGCAGATATTTAAAGTCCAATCTAAACTGAAGGAAGACTAAAGCACTTACTATAGATAACACCATCTAGTGGAATAACCTGTATAAAGCTTGTGTGTAATTGTCACTTTACACTGCACAACTCTCCCAGTCAGGCTCAAGCTGAATAATTTTCATTTATTTTTTTATTTGTATAATGTTTTTATGACAATGTCAACAAAACAATTATTCCAGATTTATTCCAATGCTTGTTAGCTGTAAGACAAATGTAAAAAGTTACTTTTTGATAATTCTTACTGACTGAGATCACTACTAGTATAACTGCTGTAACTGTTACTGCCAACTGTTTCTGTGCCTAATCATATTCATTATATCATTATAAATCTTAACTGTACATTTCTGAACAGTCATCTTTAAAAAAAAACAAAAAAAACTGTTATGATAGTACCTCGCTATTAATCTCTTCATACTCTCTCCCTAACCTGATAGCAGAAAACCTCTTTCTTCTTTTCATTATAAACACTGTTCCTGCCATCACAAGAGCAACCAGAATCATTACACCAATGGCTACACCAGCTTTTTCTCCTCCAGACATCTGAGAAGATGATGTGTCAAACATTGATGCCATTTGATTAATTTCATCAGGCTTTGCCAGTCTCCACATCTTAGTTTCTCCAACTCTCACCCAAGAATGATCACCTTCTGTCATTACAGCTACAGTGTTTGTTGCGATCATGCTGATCATGGGTGGTCTTGCGAATGGTGGGAGGCGGATAGGTATTAACTGACCACCAGTGAACACACCGGACTGGACACAGTACAATATCTGACAGCCATCACTAATGGCAGCAAGATGTTGGCTGAACTGAGGTGGACAGCGATTTTGACCATTTGCGAGAGGGTTGCCAGATTGGCAGCTGAAGAAACCAGCAAAAGGCACAGAGAATCTTGTTCCGGCCTCATAATCATTGCTCATACAAACCATCATGCCATTAGACAAAAAGTGTTGGGGAAAGTAGTTTGGAGGACAGTTATTAGATTTGGTCAGTGGGTTTTGCATGCCTGGTCTAAATAGACCTCCAAAAAGATATCCAGAGTACTCAGGGGTTTTCTGAGTTGAGGAACACCAGTAAGTTTCAACTTTTGCACGACGAACACGGTTAACATTACAACATGTTTGGTCACAACAAGTAGACAACCATAAGAAACCACATTTGCGACAGTGTCTGTGGCATTCATAATGATTATAACCTCGTTCTACTGTCTCAGAGCGTAACAGGGTGGTGTTGTACTGCTGAGGGCAAGAATAATCACCAGTAGCTGGGTTTTTCTGTGCTGTTTCATCACAGATAGCATTTCCATCTGATGTCAGTGCAGTGCATTGTTGGTAAATGCCACCAAAGCTAAGATTGGTGACTGGACCTTCACAAGATGCATCATCTACATTTGCTTGAAAGTTGAAATTTGGAGAATCTGGATTTACACAACCTGGAATAGTATTTACTTCATAGTATTGCTCTGCAGCCTGACGAACTGATGAAGCCATTTTATTTACTGTTGGTACTGGGAGGTCTGGGAATGTTGATGGATTAAAAAAATAGTGAATTGGCAGCCCGGAGCGGTCAATAGCCACCAGATTATTGAGCGTACTCTCTTGCCACTTCTGCAGAGTGATGCCTGGGTAGAATAAAGCTCCTCCATGGCTCTCAGTTAAAGAATATGTGATATTACCCTGATAACCGCTGGTTTCAGAGGTTCCATGGGATGTACTGGAACCAATATCAAACTGAACTTTGTTTAAAAAGTTAAGTCCTGCTGATGCAGAAACAGAAGACACGTCTGACTGACTGTTAGAGACGTAAGACATTTTTAAATAGTCCTCTTGCACCAAAGTGGCACCAGCATCAAAAATAAAGAAATTAAATAAAAATGACAAATGCATACAACAAAATGTCAAAACTTAACATTTAAATGAAAAACAAAAAATAAAGCTAAAAACAATTCAAAATATTAAAGAACAAAAGGTATAAGAGTATAATAATGATTCTAACATGACACTAAGCCAAACACCAAAAAAAAAAAAAATACATATATGTGTATGTACAACCACACACACACATACATATATACTGTATATGTACATTAGGGGTGTGCGATATATATCGTCTGCAATAATATCGTAATTGTTGTTTTAACGATGTGCGATTTGACATTATCGAGTATTTTGCAAAAAACATTCAAAACATCCCTACAGAGCGCACACATACATTACGTGAAGTCTAGATTAGTGCGTGTGTGCATTTAGTGTGTTTTCTTTCACTGCATGAGTCAGTCTATTAAAATGCATTTAGAATGATCACAAATTATTAATATTAGAGGCAATTTCTTTTATTGTGGTGGAAAGTTTTTATATGAAATGATCATATATTAAAACCATAAGTAGTATTTTCATACAATTTGTGTAGCTGGATTACAGCTCAGCTTGAAAATTTGTTCACAAGTAATATTACATTTTGTTTTCATAAATCACATCTCATATTTCATCTCAGATGTGCTCTTCACGTTCTTGACAACTGCACAGTTTTTTTAGGATTTTATTTAGGTTTTTTTTTTTTTTTTTGTGAATACCAGCTGTGCAGTGGGGGAGGGTTCTCGTGAGACTTTGTATGAGGGAATTGAGGGTGAAGTGCAAGGTTAACATGAATCAAGCAGGACATGTGGATGACAAAATGTAGCACACATTTTCTTTTCACTTGCAGTTGCATGTAAGACAATGGATATCATGAAATTCAAATCATATTCATTAGCACATTGCATGGGAAAGTGTTGGTCAGAAGATTTTGGATATATAGGAACATATATCCAACATGTTTTTTTATATAAAATATTATTATTATTATTATTGAATAGAACATTTATGGAGGAAAATGCCAAATTTAACATTACAACAGTCAAGAAAAAAATATATAACGATTAATTAAATTAATTTCATGTCAAACAGAAAGGTGTTGGATGGGATTTTTCAGTCAGTGAGGTTACATTATTACGCCAGTAGGTGTCGTCAAGTGACTTTTTGTTTATTATGAGTGAGTTAATGAATCAGTTTGTTCAAAAACACTGATTCATTGAGGAACGGATTGGAGTGTTGCGCAGAGAGTCAGAGACGGTCGAAGGTCCATAACATGTAAGTTACTTTTACTTGACAATGGCGTGTTTGATTATAGAATTCAGAGATTGTCGCGGTGTGTTTTTCTGAAGGACTAGCGCTATAGAGAACCGCGCCTGATTTACAAAGCGCGCCTACAAACAAAGCTTACGCTATTTAGCCATGCTTGCTGTGTACAAAGTTAATGGTTTAAATTCATCCGTCTCTCTATTTAAATAGCCATAATGTAAGTGGAATAGTGACAGACAGTTGGCGTTGGAATGATCTGGATTTGATTCCTATTTTTTAAAATTACATATTATTGTGTGCCTAAGTAGCCTGTACGTTTTCCCACAATTATAATTTTTTTACTTTTCTTTCGCATGAGAGATATCCTGTCCAGATCTGTAACATATCACATAAAGGGTGATCATGTGACTCTATAATAATAATAATAATTTGATGTTTAATAATATTTATAAAAATGTATTATTATTTTTTTGTGGGGTCATATGTAGCCTATTAGGTCCACTGTTCATTTCTACCCACTGGTTTTGTTGTTCACTGTGTGTTGTGACTTACAAGAAGTTGAGATGAAACTAGAAGTCGGTACAGTAACTTGTTAAATGGAAGTAGTTATATTTAGCTAAAGGTCTATATTAGGTATGACCAGGTAGATGATTGACTTTCCTAATTCCTGTTATTTTTGTGTGTGGGTGAGGTGAAATGAGACTTGGAAGACATGACGTCTTTGAATAATGACCAGAGTAACACTGTTTAACTGAATACTCTGGGCAAACCTTATTTTACAAAGCAATGCTATCATTATGCTTTCATGTCATGCAAAAGCAAGTTAGAGCTGATAGTTGGCGCCATCTTGAGTATGAAAGAACTTAAGATAGAGAAAGACAAGTAACTTAGATTTGGAAATTGATAATGATATACTAATGTTGTTACACTCTTTGTCTTGTAGCTTCTACTAAGAAAAATAATACATTACAATCGCCCTATAACAACAAGTACAATTATAATGTAGCAGTAATTTAAACTCAGATTTCATGTCCTTATATTTATTCACAATCTAAGTCAGGTTCGTGATCATATTGCATGCTGAAGTTAATGACATTTGCTCAGTCTTTCTTTAAGAACTATTTATTAATCACAAAGCACAAAAAGAGAGACATATACCAGTAAAAAAATAATAAAACTGTAGAAAATCATGCCGAATCCAACCCCTTATGTATTTTTCCTCAGCTGCTCTAAAAGTGATTCATTTCAGAGTATTCTTATTTCACAACAATCTGTAAAATAGACTTCTGAAACATTTACGGTACAGTCTTTCTTAACAATTTTTTATATATTTTTTCTTTTGAATAATGTTTTATGACATTCAGTTAAAAATATATATTTTTAGGTTTATTCCAATGCTTGGATTGTTAGTTGCAAAAAATGCAAACATCAACCTCAAATGGGTGCTCGACTAAAAAACAAGTGGAGAAATTAAATATAAAGTCGGCAACACCAAAGCTCCAAACGTATCAAAAATGTATTTAAAAAACTTTTGCATAGCGTATGACGTTTTGAGCACGCAGGCTCTTCATCAGACTTTTGTTAGTTGTAAAATAAATGTAAAAAGTTGCCTTTAAAGAATGGTTACTGACTGAGATCACTACTATTATAACTGCTTTAACTGTTACTGCTGCCACCAACTATTTCTATGTCTAATTATATTTATTATAGCATTATAAATTGTAGCTGTAAATCTCTGAACAGTCATCTTACAAAGATTGTTATGATAGTAAGGGTTGAGTGGGGTTTTCATTTGAATTCTCATTCGGTTGTTCTCTCTGAATCTCTATACTGCTCTCATTTTCACCCTCGCTATGAATCTCTTCATACCCTCTGCTCAAACTGGTGGCAGAAAACCTCTTTCTCCTTTTCATAAACACTATTCCAGCAATCACAAGAGCAACCAGAATCATTACACCAATGGCTACACCAGCTTTTTCTCCTCCAGACATCTGAGAAGATGATGTGTCAAACATTGATGCCATTTGATTAATTTCACCAGGCTTTGCCAGTCTCCACATCTTAGTTTCTCCAACTCTCACCCAAGAATGATCACCTTCTGTCATTACAGCTACAGTGTTTGTTGCGATCATGCTGATCATGGGTGGTCTTGCGAATGGTGGGAGGCGGATAGGTATTAACTGACCACCAGTGAACACACCGGACTGGACACAGTACAATATCTGACAGCCATCACTAATGGCAGCAAGATGTTGGCTGAACTGAGGTGGACAGCGATTTTGACCATTTGCGAGAGGGTTGCCAGATTGGCAGCTGAAGAAACCAGCAAAAGGCACAGAGAATCTTGTTCCGGCCTCATAATCATTGCTCATACAAACCATCATGCCATTAGACAAAAAGTGTTGGGGAAAGTAGTTTGGAGGACAGTTATTAGATTTGGTCAGTGGGTTTTGCATGCCTGGTCTAAATAGACCTCCAAAAAGATATCCAGAGTACTCAGGGGTTTTCTGAGTTGAGGAACACCAGTAAGTTTCAACTTTTGCACGACGAACACGGTTAACATTACAACATGTTTGGTCACAACAAGTAGACAACCATAAGAAACCACATTTGCGACAGTGTCTGTGGCATTCATAATGATTATAACCTCGTTCTACTGTCTCAGAGCGTAACAGGGTGGTGTTGTACTGCTGAGGGCAAGAATAATCACCAGTAGCTGGGTTTTTCTGTGCTGTTTCATCACAGATAGCATTTCCATCTGATGTCAGTGCAGTGCATTGTTGGTAAATGCCACCAAAGCTAAGATTGGTGACTGGACCTTCACAAGATGCATCATCTACATTTGCTTGAAAGTTGAAATTTGGAGAATCTGGATTTACACAACCTGGAATAGTATTTACTTCATAGTATTGCTCTGCAGCCTGACGAACTGATGAAGCCATTTTATTTACTGTTGGTACTGGGAGGTCTGGGAATGTTGATGGATTAAAAAAATAGTGAATTGGCAGCCCGGAGCGGTCAATAGCCACCAGATTATTGAGCGTACTCTCTTGCCACTTCTGCAGAGTGATGCCTGGGTAGAATAAAGCTCCTCCATGGCTCTCAGTTAAAGAATATGTGATATTACCCTGATAACCGCTGGTTTCAGAGGTTCCATGGGATGTACTGGAACCAATATCAAACTGAACTTTGTTTAAAAAGTTAAGTCCTGCTGATGCAGAAACAGAAGACACGTCTGACTGACTGTTAGAGACGTAAGACATTTTTAAATAGTCCTCTTGCACCAAAGTGGCACCAGCATCAACACTTGTGATGACATGGGTGCCATAATCAAGAATGAGTTTCTCTGACAGATATGTTGCTTGACGAGTTTGATTGTTTTCAATAGCATCTGCAATTTCCTCGGCCTGTCGAGCAAAGCGGGAGTCCAGAGTGAAGTCAGGATACGCCTTTACTGTGTACAGATGGTTACGGACCTGCAAAATAATTATTTGATAATATGAGAAAATGAACCAAACATTGACAATCAGCATTGCGTTTTATAATGTTCCATCATATGTTTTAATTGATAATTATTTGTTTATCTCTATTTAGATGCTCATAAAATTTGATGAAAAAAAAGAAAAAAAAATGTATGGTTATATTTTGGTATTAGAATTTGTGTTTATATTTTATGTTGCTATAGTGTTGGCTAAAATTACATTTTTCTTTAGAAGTACTTAAATTCTGCATTC